GGTTTTAAAAAGATCAGATGAGATCAGGTCAGGTGTGGCTCCATGGTAAATGTAGGATTTTCATCGTTTTCTGGCTATTGTTAGCAGGAGCCCAGAAAGTGGTTTGTAGCAGAGCCACCTTCACCTGACAGCTTGTCACTTGATTTCCTGGCTGGCATTCCTGAAGGGCCTGGAGTCTTAGAGCCACCCAAGATCAATGCCAAACCCCTACCTCCTCCATCAGTCCCCTGCTCTGTGTGACCTGGGCCAGTCATCTGACCTCCCTGGGAAGCTGGCCAGTGGGCAGGGCTCTGTCTTCCTCCAGGGGGTTGTTGTGGGGCTTGCTTGGGAGCCTCTTTGTGACCTGCAAGTTAATACAAATGTAAGGGATTATTCTTAAAGCACAAGCCCCACATTGATTAGAGCATTTCCTGGGGGGTGGGGGAGACATAGCAAAAGAAAACAGAACATAACAAAACACTTGGTCTGAAGTAGGATCCCTACTTAAGAGCTCTGGGCACCTCTGTGGGGAGGGTCAAGTCTTTTAGGACACTATTAATGTCACTATTAATGGAGATAAAGCATCCGACTTGTTGCCACAGAGGTTTTTCCCTCCATAATTGCCTTCACCTCGAAAACCACAAGTGGCAGCAAGTCCCAGCCGTCCTAGTGGTCCCGGCGGTCGTCACTTCACTTGAAAAACTAATTGGAAGTTGAGAGAGCCCTGGGTTTTTGCTTTTGTTGGTACAGGGCGAGCAGAGATGAGCAGGTGGTCCAGTGGGATGGAGGAGGCTCCCATTCGGTCTCCTTTGTTGCAGGACCTTGGTAGCTTCCTGGCCTGCCCACCTCTCTCAGCTTAAGTAGACTGCCTGCCCTCAATGGCCAGCCTTCTTCGGAGGGGCTTTTGTTTGCCATTGTTCTTATGTCTCCTCCTGGAGCTGTCAGAGTGGCCCTTGAAGAATGTTCCCACGCTTCACATTCCTTCCCTGGGGCTCCCAGGGAGAGCAGGTGGTCTGAGCCCTGTGAAGAACCAAGTGGGTTTTACAGTTCTGGTGCTGGGAGACAGGAGACCTGGCTGCCAGCCCCTCCAGCCTGGGTCAAGCATTTCCCTTCCCAGGCTGCAGTCTTAGGCTCGATAGCGAATGCAGTGTGATTGCGCACCGAGTCACAACAACTCTTGAGACACTGTGATTTTTTGGCACTTTTCATCAAAACAGATATCCTGTCATCCAGACTTCATCATGGTCAGGTTTTTTGAGGTCAAATTTTGTAAAGTAAAATGCATAAATTGTAAGTGTACAGTTCAATGGGTTTTTACATATAACTGTACTGGTATAACCACTCCTCAAATCAAAATACAGAACTTTTCATCACACCAGAAAGCTCATAGATTCTCATAGTGTGTAGACAGTAGGTGAGGTGTGGGGATATTTGGCCCAGATAAAATGGTCCATCAATAGAAAAAGGTAAAGAATTAACCTAGAAGGTAACACACACGCACAGGAAATCAATGTGAGTCAATGCCCTGTATAGCTATCCTTATCTCAACCAGCAAAAACCCTTGTTCCTTCCTATTATTGCTTATACTCTCTCTACAACAAAATTAGAAATAAGGGCAAAATAGTTTTTGCTGGGTATTGAGGGGTGGGGGGGAGAGGGAGGGGGTGGAGTGGGTGGTAAGGGAGGGGGTGGGGGCAGGGGGGAGAAATGACCCAAGCCTTGTATGCACATACGAATAATAAAAGAAAAAAAATAAATAAATAAAATAGAAAGGAAAAAAAAAGAAAAAGGTAGTCACAGACCTAGGGACCTCTGATTAGTGACTTAAGATTGCTGCATCTTTTATGGTAAGCTTCTTAAAAGAAATATCTCAGCCAGCACTGCCCAATGGTAATATTTTTATTACCATTTATTCTAATAACCACAATAAAAAAGGAGGGGAGGGACTGAGGTGTAGCTCAGTGATAGAGCATTTGCCTAGCGTGTGTGAGACTCTGAGCTCCAAATATTCCTTGGGCCTTTAAAAGGTGTCTCACATTCAACATGTCCAAACCCAAACTCTTAATTCTCCGCTATTCCCAAGCTGCTAAGGGATGGCTCCATCCTCCAAATGCCTCAGGCCAAAACCTTTGGGGTCACCTCTCTAATCCCTACACCCTGTCAGCAAATAAGTTCTAAGAATGTATCCACAATTTGACCCTTTCTCAGAGTGACTTTAAATATTGCTCCAATCATGCCATTTTTCTGGTTAAACCCTACAATAGCTTCCATCTCACCAAGGTGAGATCTAGGCCCTCACAATGACCTGATAAAACAAAATTTTTTATAGGTGACCACTGATTTGCACTGAGCTCCTGCACTAGTCTCTAACAGGCCAGACCAAACCATAATGGAGACCCTCATGCTAGGTGCCGTGTAATCAAAATGAATTTAGGAATTAGCTACTTTCCCACAGAGAAACAGGAGATTAACAGCATCCAACAGAAGGAGTCCAGTCAACCTGAGCTGCATGATAAGAAAGAACTCTCTCCTGTAAAGAAAGTAACTTGAAAATAACCAGTCTGCTTTCTGACCCTGTTTCTGAAAGGTTCAGCTTTTTTTTTTTTTAGTACTGGGTTTTAAACTCAGGGCCTATTCCTTGAGCCACTCCACAAGCCCTTTTTTTGTGATGGATTTTTTTGAGATAATGTCTCAAAATATGTCTGGTCTGGCATCAAACCACCATCCTCCTGATCTCTGCCTCCTGAGTAGCTAGGATTACAGGTGTAGCCACCAGTACCAGGCTTCAGCCCATTTTTTGCCTGCATTTCCCAACTCTACTCAGCTCATGAGAACTCCTGATCCATGAATCACTAATAAAAGCCAGTTAGATCTTTAAAACTCAATTTGTCAAAATTAATGTTTTGTTTTCAGCCCTTCTCTCCATGAACCAGTTCTTGCTCCCTCTCTTCCCTCCACTCAAAGCCTCGCTCTGCTTTAGCTGGCTGGGCTGACCTACCTCACATTCCTCCTCCCGTGCTCTTGCCTTGGGCTTTTGTATTGGCTTTTTGCTCTGCCTGGAATGTTCCTTACCCAGATATTCCCAAAGCTAACCCCCTGTCTTCCTTCAGGACTTTGTTCAAATGTCCCATCATCACTGGCGAGGCCTTGGGTATGTACAATGGAGCTAAAATAACACCTCCAGTACTCCCACCCTGTTAAAAGTCTTTTGCTTTGCACTCCTCCACTGAAATATAAGCTCTAAGAGGTCAGAGACTTTGCCCACCACTGCCTACTGTAATAGTGGGGTTTGAGCCATTTGAGACATATCAACAGCCTTTTTGGGTTTTTTGGGTTTTTTTTGTATTTTGTTTTTGAGACAGGATCTCACTGACTTTATCTGGGCTGGCCTCCAACTCACCATCTTCCTGCCTCTGCCTTCTAAGTAGCTAGGATTATAGGTGTGCACCACCATACTCAGCATAAATATGTGTTGAATGAATAAATGGTTTACTCATAAATGAGCAAGGCCCCAGTGGATGAAGGATGGTTTGACCCAGGCAGGGTTGCTGCATGTCACTAGGAACCTGGTTCTGTAACAGGTACTTAGAAACTGCTTTTGCTAAACTGACTCCTGCAGTAGTCCCCAACAGGCCACATACCAAACCAGAATGGAGTCACTCATGCTAGGTGCATGTGATTGAACTGAACTTAGGAATGGGCCAGTTTAAAAAAATAGAAAAGCCAGGCACTGGTGGCTCACCCCTATAATCCTAGCTACTCAGAGGCAAAGAGCAGGAGGATCGCGGTTTGAAGCCATTCCAGGCAAATAGTTTGCGAGACCCTATCTGGAAAAAACCCTTCACAAAAAAAATGAACTGGTGGAGTAGCTTAAAGTGTAGGTCCTGGGTTCAAACCTCAGTACCACAAAAACAAAAAAACCAAACAAAACAGAAGACGCATAGAAACAAATTAAAAGCAGGAGAAAATCTTGGCATCCCTGCCTCCATATTGTATCAATGGTCTTTGCTCTGAGCCATTCTCTCCGCAGTCCCTTGGAATCCAGGAAGATCCGGGAAGAACAGGATTGTTTGATAACATCTTTGACAAAGGAGAGACTGCAAGGAAAGAAACAGCAGAGCCCCCACCGGACAGACCACCTTCAGGCAACAGTGACTTCCTTTGACCCTAGCCCATGACTTTCTTTTGTTTTTTGTGGCGACACTGGGGTTTGAACTCAGGACCTTAAGCTTGCTAGGCAGACACTTTTGCCATATTAAGCCTCTCTGAATGACTTTCTTATCTTGATCAGGTTGTTTCCCCTCAAGTGATGACAGCGATAACAACCAACCGCTCTGAAACTTCTTGATAAAGATCAACCAGCCACAGCCACATTGTAACCAGGACTGGTTAGTAATTGCCCTCTGCCCCAGTGTTTTCTCTAATAAATCTGAAGCTCAGGTGTCTGTCCCCCAAGATGGGCGGAAGTGCTTACTTTGCCTCTTCCCACTAGATGCCCAGGCCACATTTTTTAAAAATCTCCTTTCTCTGCCCTTCACCAGTACTTGTGTGCTTGTGTCAGCCCCACTGACATGTGGAACCCCTGGAGTTGAGCCTGTGGCCTAGCACTCCAGTTACAGTTCTGGGCTGGGCTGCGTCTCAGCTCTCACTTGCCAGCTGTGACCCTGGGCAACTTGGTCCACCTTCCTGCGCCTCAGTTCTGGTCTGTGAGATGAGGAAGATCCCAGCACTTGCCCTGGAACTGTGTGTAAAGCTGTCCAGCTGACACTCTGAGTGTCTGGTAAATGCTAGCTATTTTATTTTTATTTTTACTATTATTATCATAACTTATGATACCACTCTGGAAATGTACTATATAAAACATATTAAAAAAAATAGGCTGAAGATAAAAGAAAACTGAAGTGCAGACCAGTATGGGGACTTTTATTGTATTTACAAGGAAAAAGTAGATCAGAACTGTAACGACGTGACCTGGATCCAGTTGTGTTTGGGCTACACGTGGCCCAAGCATGGCGGAGGCTTCATCCTTGAGAATTCCTGCTGCAGAGAGAGAAAGAGAGAGAAAACTCAATCCTGGAGACCGCATTAGGGGAAGTTGAGACCCCAGGAACCAGGGAGATAGGGATTCCAGGGCAGGAGCTGGCTGTTCTCTGGGTTCCCAGAGACAGCATGATGTAAATAAAGCAAAGGATGTTCTTATATGTCAGCAAAGTGGGCCCAACCTTAGCACTTCTTTGCCTATCACTCCCACTGAGACCCTGGGCTGGTCACTTCCTCTTGAAGACACCACCTCCAATCCCCAGACAAGGTGGCCTCCTCCCAGCAAAACATCCACCACAGCCAATATCTTTTCCTGTTGATCACAAGTTGAATCATCGACTGTATCAGAACATGTGGAAGTCTCAAGAGTTCCATGAGAGTAAAGGCCACCACTGTCCTGTTCATTGCTGATCCCCAACCCAGAGCCTGGCACATGGTAGTGACTAGATGGCTGTCACAGGGGTGGGAGAATGGTTAAACCTGAACCAAAGCATCCTTCCAAGGAAGACACTTTCTGAGACAGAAGCTCAGTATAGTCCATTCTGGCCTAGATTTCATGATCTTCCTGCCTCAGCCTCCAGAGTGTAGAGATTACAGGCATGTGCCCCCACACACAGTCTACATTCATTCTTATTTCCTGTTTTCTTAGGCTCTCTAGTGACATCCCAGTATTTGCTGGTGGAGCCAGAGGGGTAACAATGGCTAGAGGAACCTCCAGGCCCCTTCCTTAGAGTTCTGTAAAACCTCTGGCTTTTAACCTGCAAAACAAAGCCCACTTTTTTTTTTAATTTTTATTTTATTCATGTGTGCATACAATGTTTGGGTCATTTCTCTCCCTTTCCCCCACACTCTCCCTTACCCCACCCCCCACCCCCTTTCTCTACCCCCCACCCCCTCGATACCCAGCAGAAACTGTTTTGTCCTTATCTCTAATTTTGTTGAAGAGAGAGTATAAGCAATAATAGGAAGGAACAAGGGTTTTTGCTGGTTGAGATAAGGATAGCTATACAGGGAGTTGACTCGCATTGATTTCCTGTGCATGTGTGTTACCTTCTAGGTTAATTCTTTTTGTTCTAACCTTTTCTCTAGTTCCTGTTCCCCTTTTCCTATTGGCCTCAGTTGCTTTAAAGTATCTGCTTTAGTTTCTCTGTGTTGAGGGCAACAAATGCTAGCTAGTTTTTTAGGTGTCTTACCTATCCTCACCCCTCCCTTGTGTGCTCTCGAAAGCCCACTTCCTTAGGATTGGGCATCTGTGGGCCACTCCTTTAGGGTGGCCTCATGGGAGCCACAGCAGGTGAATGATAACCTAATCCCAGAGTGAGAGGCCAGGTGACATCCTTCTTAGAATTCTAGCCTGTGGGACCATAGAAGTGATCAGAGCCCACCTGCTTCTTCCTGAGAGGAAGAAACTAGGATGTCACCTATTGCTATGGGCTGGAAGTTAGTGGCAGGGCCCAGGAGTTCATTTTGCCTCCTACATGGTTGTCACCCTGTCGCCTGCCTGTGGTCTACTGCTGCTTGTATCTCCACAGGCAGGAGTGGTGAGATCGCTGGGCTATGGCTGTCTAATTAGGCTGGGAGGGAGGTGAGGGAGCACACAAGAGAGCTGCTAGGAATCAGATTTGCTAAAACAGGCTGGCACAGAAGTGCCCAGCAGTCATACTGGAACATGCCTGTGCTCCAAATTTAAAATTAGGCTCTAAAATACAACAGTTTTTCTCCAAACAGTTGTGCCACTCTTTGGAAACTTTGTCTAAGAACTGGAGTTTTGTGTGAATATGTTCCAGAGACACAAGCAGGCTTGGACTCGCCCGTTCCTGGGAAGTTGCTGTCCCTTCTTTGTCTCACTTTCCCTCTTCTGTACAGAGGGAAGCTCATTCCCGATCTTCTCTGACCCCTGTGGGAATGCAAAGGCCAAGGAGATGGGAAAGTACTATTGTGACTATTTCTCCCTCTGGTGACAGTGTGTCTACATACAGTGCTCCATCACAGGGCTGGCCTGTCTTTGGCATTGTAGCTTTTGTGGACTTGGCAGGGGGTTCAGGGGCTATCTCTCAGATCACCCTCTTAGAATCCCCCAGTATGCTTGTTGAAATCCCCTGAACCACTGGTAAGTAACACTTTTAGACACAGATACTGAACCTGGCCTCTGCTCCACACTGGACACACAGCAGTGGACGGCAATGCAGACTCTGCTATACATTCCTCCCCTTCCTCTAGGTCCTGATGTAAGCAGGAATCTTGTTCTCAGTTTGCCTGGCAGCACTCTACACCTTTGGAGAGTAGGGAATTCTTTCCTTTTCCTGGCAGCTCATGAGAAGGAAGCTTCTGAAGTCACTAGACACCCACACACATACACACACACACACACCTGTGCTTCTGCAGCAGAGCCACCAGGATGCTCTCCAATGACATCTGCTTTGGTCTGCCCACATGCTGTCCACCTGTCGGCCGAGCCGCACTTTTGCTCCTTGCTCCTGGTTCCTCTCTCTGGTGGTCAGAAAAAGAGAAACAGTTGAGGTTTCTATGGGGTAGATGCAGAGACAAGGGTGCATCCCTACACCTCTTCTGATATTTGCTGTGGATTCTTGCACATAACTGAATTAAGTTCAGCAACATTTAGGGAGGTGGCATGTATCGTAAGGAAGAGTACAGTATGCCAGGGTCCACAGTTGCAAAAATCTCCCATTGCCAGGCATCGGTGACTCATGCCTGTAACCCTATCTACTTGGGAAGACTGAGATTGGGAGGATCAACGTTTGAAGCCAGCCCAGGCAAAAAGTTCAGGAGACCCTATCTCCAAAATAACCAGAGCAAAGTGGACTTGGAGGTGTAGCTCAAGTGGCAGAGCTCCTGCTCTGCAAGTGCAACACCCTGAATTCAAACCCCAGTCCCACAAAAATAAATAAGTAAATAAAATCTCTCCATAGATTATACTCTGACAGACACCATGCTAATCAAGTGATCAAATTTTCCATCCACTAATAATTCACCCATAATGGAAAAAATTGACCTGTAGTGACTCCTGATGTGACCTGACAAGGATACGTCACTTCTATGAGTGCATAGCTTGAATCTAATTATGAAGATGCTTCAAACAAATTCACTATGAGGGACTGTCCATAAAGCATTGGCCAGTCAAAAATGTCAAGGTCATGAAAGACTGAGGAACTCTTCCAGTTTAAAAGAAACTAAAAAGATATGCCAACCACATGGAACCCAGCATTCCAAATTGGATCCTATATCAGAAAGAGAAATGAGTTTACAAAAGACATTTTGAAGCAACTGCTGAAATTTGATTATGGATAATGAATGATAATTACACTGTGATTATGTAAGGAGATGCCTTTTGTTAGGGGTTAGGAGTCCCATGGACAAGTACCTTTGGGAAGTAGTCATGGTAACTGAAATGTATTCCAAAATGGTCCCACAAAAATGATAATCACAAAAATAACAAATGTGCCTGGGTGTTCAGTGTGTGTGTTCATATATCTATATATCTAGCTATTGGTCCTGAGTAAGAAAATATGGTAAAAAATTTAGGAATTGCTGAATATAAGACTGTTGCTGCAACTTTTTGTAAACTTGAAGCTTTTTCAAAATAAAAACTAAGAAAATGTACAAGGTGTGGATTCTGGCTGTTTAGATTCTAGCTCTGCCACCTTTGGTTGTGGGTCTTTTAGAAGAGATAGATTCACAGATCTGTACAGGGGAGGTGAGAGTCCCTACTAAGTCAGGTTTGTTTCAAAGATCTGAGAAGAAAGAAGAATAATAGCTGGGATTACCATGGGCTCCCATGTGCCCAGTACGGTGCTGGGTGTTTGTGAATACACTGCAGCAAACAAATGGTCATTACCATCAGCATTGTTCCTGTCAGAACCCAGTAAGAGGAGAAGTACACAGTAGGTGTAGAAGTAAGTTGAGGCTTGGCATGGGGCAAAGTCCAGAAGTGACAGGCACAGCATTAGGGAACAGATGAAGCTACCTCTGTCCTCCCCCATCGGGCCTTCCCCACTGTGATGCAGGGGGGGTTGGTGTGGGAAGAAACCCTGGGGACTTCTGCTCACCCCTGCTGCCTGCTCATGATGTCCTGGAGCAGCCTTCGGGCAGACAGCTGGCCCAGCACCTTCCGGTAGCTGTTGGTGAAGATGGCATCTGCATAGCGTCGCATCCTATGCCAAAGGGTCAGAAGTCAGAGAAGGGGCCAGGTGAGAGGACACGGGGGGGGGCTACACTCATCACATCTCTGAAGGGTACTCTGTAGTCCTGGGTCACACTCATCCCGAGAGACTCAGAGCCCGACTGAGCGACCTCTCTGGTGCTTAGTATCTCAGCCCCTCCCTGAGATAGGCAGTGGTATGGTGGCTCCATTCTGGGTCCTCTAACTGTCCCATGGCAGGGAGGGCAGGGGGTGTGGAAATCCATGGGCTGCTTACCTGAGGGGCAGGGAAGGGGGTGGCGAGCAATGGGAACCACTGGTGAGAGTGAGGATCACAAAGAAAAACACCCAGAGTGGCATCCTCACCCCTGGTGGCACCTGCGAAAGAGCAGGAGGGAACAGTCAGTGCAGCCACAGTCGCCGGGGTGCTGTTTGCCTACTGGAATCAGCCCTGGGCTCAGCTCTGTGACAAGCCTTGGTCCTTGTTCTTTGGAAACTGTGGGGCAGGAAAAAGTTCTGTCTCTGGAAGTCAGACCCAACTGGGTTCAAGTTCTGCCTCTGCCAGTCCCCAGCCACCCTTGCCAACTCATCTAGTCAAACGGAAAACCAATGACAGGAGTGAAACTGCCCCTTGCTGTAAGGTTTGAGAGGTGGAACTCAGCCTCAGTGTTGAGTGAGAGAAGGGGAGCAACCTACTTACTACCCCTAAGTCACCCCCATCCAGTGTGGCTTGGACAGCAGAGAACCGCGGTAAGATGGGAATTTGAGTTCACATCCTGGCTCTGCTCTCACTAGTTGTGACCCCCAGAATCAGTGGCTCCACCTCTCTGGACCTGTTTTGTCAACCATAAAATGGAGGTGATAACTATCTCTCGTGTTGGGTCCTCTTAAGGATCGGGAGAGGAGGCACCTGAGTGAGTAGCTTGGCACATAGGGAACTCTGGAAACCTTTGCTACAGTCACCTAACACTGACCCACTCAGAGGTCAAGCCTGTGCTGTTTCATTCTGGATGGAGTTGGAGGCAACAAAGATTTCGGAAAGATTTGCTCTGAGAGCCCAGCAGCCCATGTGACAGAATCTTCTCATGGATCACATAATTACCTTAATTGGGAGCTATTGATACTGGGCAAACCGCCCAGCTAGGGAAGGTGCCCCGTGTCAACCCAGACTGCCCTAGTGGGGAAGGGCTGGCCTGGGATTTCAACCACCAAACAACCAGGACTTCTCTCCTGTGAGACTTCACTGTCTCTCAGCAGGATATTTGTTCCAGGGAGATGCAGAGGCCCAGCCACCCGAGAGAGCAGCAGCGCCCCCATTCCCACAATGGCCTGGCAGGGCTCCACTTCCTCCCTCTCCCCTGAGGGATGATATCCATAGGCAGGGCCAGCACTGGTGAACTTCACCTTACTTTCTGGGCTCACTTGTCCTCACGTAGCATCCACCCCTGTCTGCAGACCCCTGTCTCCATCAACCCAGGGATGCCTTGGGCCCACAGGGACCAACCACAGGAATTTCTGTGACTTGAGGTGCCCTCACCTCCAGAGCTGCAGGGATAAGCTGCCAAGGCATCATATGTCAGCCCCTCTGTGATGTGTGCCCCTCTCCCAGGCAGTCCTCCAGGTCCTGCTGGAGGAGCACTTGCTGCCTCAAAGTAACAAGGAACTCACTACCTCCAAGTCAGTCTTTTTGCTAAGAAGTTTTTTTATTGTATCAAGCCCAAAGTCCTTTATCCTACTAATAAAGTCACACACCAAATGACAAGGTTTTGGTTAACTGCTGGTCACCTATATGGTGGTGATCCCATAAGATTATATGGCCTCCAAGAGGAGAGTTCAGGCTTTGCTCTGGAAAGAGTGGAGAGCCAAGGGCTTTTGAGCAGTGAGGAGGTCGTAGCCATCACTGTGTCAGCACATTCTATGATCTACATGCAACAACAAAATTGCCTAATGAGATGGTCACATTTATCAGAACAGAGCTCTATCACTAAGCAAAGCATGGCTGTATTTGTTTAACCCCTACTATTCTGGTAAGGACTGGGGCTACGAAAAGAAGAGAACCTGTTATCTGTCCCCAGGGTGGCCTCTTTTCCAACTGCTTACCACCCAGAGCATCTGCTCCTGCCCCCACGTGCCAGGCCCTTTAGCTACATTTGCACCTGACTTAGGCCTTTGCTTCTCTGAAAAGGATCTGCAGTTTTCTGTCCTCCGCACACCCCATCACACCTGGCTGCCCTCCTCCCAGCTGGTCCAGGCTGCCTCTCCAGAAGTAGAGTTTTCTAAGCAGGGAGATCTTTGGAGACAAGGAAGCGCCCATGACATAAATGACCACCTATTCTGTATCCTTGGGGCATCTGGCTTTCTTGCCTTCTTTGCTGAATCTTTGAAAGATTCAGGCATATCCAGGCACCTGAGCTCCTCCCTTCCCTGCTAGGAAGCCCTTGGCTCTCCATTACCTCCAGAGTGAAGCCAGGCCTTTGGAGTGGCTCAAATGGCAGAGTGCCTGCCTAGCAAGCATGAGACCCTGAGTTTAAAACTCAATGCTAAAACAAACAAACAAACAAACAAATCCTAAAAATGAAGCCCAGTGCCCACCCATCACCCCCTTGGCCTAAGCAATCCCTTTTCCTCCTTTCCTTCTTCCCCTCTCCCTAGGGCTGGTGCAAATGATCCAGTCCCTGTGTCCTCCTGTCTTGGCTTGCCCAGCCACCCTCACACCCGCCTTCCGGCGCAGGTACTGCCACCCTCATTTCCCAGCCGACAGTGAGCCCAGACAGGAGAAAGAAGGGCCTTTTTCCATGGTCCTCTGTCAAATTAGCTTCAGAGTGAGCACTTCAGTATGGGCCCCTAATTCCCAGGCCAGCAGACTTCCTCCTGCTGGAGAGTCAGGTTCTCAGATATAATACGCTATTCATAGTGCTCACTATTCATGGGGCCTTCAGAATCCATCACCTGCACGTGGGAAAGAACTCTGAAGAAACAGAAAGTGTTTGCTCTTTGTCAGTGGACCTCAGAGGGAGTAAAAAAGGGAACAAACAGGAGCACCTGCTTGATTGGCACCTCCCTCTGCACACCCAGTGGTTTTGGGGAGTTGCAAACAGCCTCATCAGAGGGCAGACATCAGGAGGCAAGTCAGAGTAGACACGTAATATCCGGCTCATTCAAAATGAGGCCAGCTCAGTAACTAACTGCACAGTGTGGTTAAGCAACAGGCTCAACATTTTCCAGAAACCATGGCCTCGGGGGTGGGTCCAGCCACAGCAGCGCCCCTGGGCTCTGTGAGCCTGTGCATACTGTGAAGCAAGCCCTGAGGTTGCACAAACCCACTGCACGAAAATGGGGGCACCAAGAATTATCTAGCTTATGGCAAGATAGGAAGAGAGGTTGTGTCACCAAGAATAAAATAACTGTCAACAGACATATCCTTCATGACAATCTAAGGAGTTAAAACTCACTAAATGAAATGTGACTCAAACCCGATGGCCTCACGGTCACCTCTTGTTGACTATAGGTGTTCTCTAAGCTCAAAAGCTATCTTTGTGAATATCACCTTTCTGCTCCGATAATTCTGTGATGAGATGTATTTGAGTTGATCCAGATCCAGAATAAATGAGCGCTTGATTCTCATTAGGTGAAACCTTTGGCCAGTTTTCATGCTACAAATACCATGAGAATTCTGCAAATACGCATTTTTATCGAATTTGGGTCTCAAGTACCCAAATTAACAAGGACACTAAAAATCTTTTCCCTTTGTTTAATATTCTGCTTTGGAATTGAGAACCCCAAGGCATTGACCCCAATCCACTTTAGAAACCTTTTCACCAAAAGTGTTCCAAGTCAATGGAAACTTAAGTTTAGATGTTTTTTGTAGTGCTAAGGATCAAACCCAGGGCCTACAACATCTAGGCAAGGGCTTCACCACTGAACTACAGCCCCAGCCCCAAATCTAAGTTTGTTTTTTTAATGAGGAAGCACATCTTTATTAAAAGAATATCAGTCACATCCTTCCAGAAAAGATTTGGGGCAGCTTATGGTGAAAAAAAAAAATCAAACACTGAGCAAGGATCAGGGGCCAGCGTGGGGTAATGGAGGGCTCCAAGGGTTGATAATTGTGTCTAAAAACTGACACAAGTTTTTTAATCCTTGAAAAAGAAATCTAAGTAGGGCGTGTGGCTGCAATAGAGCAAGAAAGCAAAGTGCTATCAATTTCTAGGCAATTGTGTGGATCAGTTCTGAGCAGCCCATGAGCTGTATTGATTTGCACAGTCACTTGGCTCCTCTCCGATCCGTGACGGTCCCATCACTGACAGGAGAACCCAGCCAACTCATTTCTTGCCCCAGAAGCCTGCCCCACACTCCAAATGGAGCCCCAAGACCGCCCTTACCTTTGACAGGCTCCTGCAACCCAGTTGCCTGCCACTTCTCTACCGGGCGTGGTGCTATGCATCCACAACAATCCTAAATCACGGGGCCAAACATGGAAAGCCCGTTCCAGAGCCCCTAGTGAGGAGTTATTGTACCCGTAGTGGGGCCCAATTGTACTCACCAATCCACAGGCAAAGAGGGTGGCCATGGGCCTTTGATTTGGTGTCTCTTAGTGGGTAAAAATGTCAACTTTTCTTGTCCTCATCCAGCCCTGTCCCCCAGGGCCACCCCCTCTCACCTCTGATGCGGCAGGTGTCCCTCTGCTATGAGGCACTGCTCCAGTTCCACGGACCTCAGGGCTGGGTGTTCGCTCCGGCAGCTGCGTGACACTTCCATTTATACCTTAATTTCCCTGAGCTTTGTCAACGTCAGAGACAATTACCTACAAGTCAACCAAAGCACCATTTTTAAAAGCATCACACTGACAAACCCTGATAGGGGAAAGAGGTTTTGTCCTCTGTGAATGAAGACTCACCTCCAACTTTCCCTTTATCTTTGAGAGCAGTGAACAGAGTGTAAAGTTGTAATATTATTCCGAGGAGAATAGAGAGTAAAATACTGCTGCTGGAATAATTGGAGTATTCACAACGTTGAAACACCAAGTGAACACCAAGGGTTATTTTCCAGATAAATGTGCCTTTTAAAAAACAGTTCACCTAATTCTGTCTTGTCTATGTGTAACTTTAGTTCACTTTTGGGTAGACAGCATTACCAGTAAGTGTTTTTCTCTCCTCAGTGAGGAAAATTGTTCTCTGTCTCCCCGTCGCTCAATTATCAGAGTCTTCCCCCATTTGATTTACACCACACAGGCTGATTTGGACAGCTAAGCCTGGGCACAGCCGCTGTCATGTGTCAAGGCTGCCGGATATCGGACATCGCATCTGCCTCAGAGAAGTGGGAAGTGAGAGGAGAGAGATGGGAACCTTGGGAGAGTTGTG